AATACCTTTTTTGAGCATCTGCTTCTTTATCTTTTCACTGCTTACCTCCTCCATCTCTCTTTTTCTCCTTACTGCACAAGGATGGCACTCCTCTCTCGTATTCTCTCCCCCAGGTACCTAAATATATTGTTATTTAATTTCTCACCATTCAGATTATCCTATTCACTCTCAACTTTTTTCCTCTCTACGCATGCCTCTTAATTGCTTTGAAATTTCTTTTATAAATAAGAACTGGAGGCCGAGGGGGGAAGCCCTAAAAGGTTGCTTAGTAAGTATATAAGTGCCCAAAACTTCATGAATGCCTAATTATGGACTGATCTGCATCCAACTACCTCGCAGAATGACACAGGTAGCTAAAATTATTGCACTAAAAAGGCAAAGAGAAGGTACACAACACATTTCCTGATAATCTCAGCACTGCCCACGGGGAGTGGTCTGATGATTCCATACTCTGGAAGTCTACCTGACAGTTTAGTTTCATTTTGGATGACGAGTTTGGGTATCATTTCTCTTGTTTAATGCATACTTCTTCCTAGCATTCTACCCTTTTAATGATTTCAACTGCTACAGAACAGAATATCAGCTCTCTGCCAATTCTGAATTTGCCCCGAAGTGGTCAGGGAGTTGGACTAGATGACTGATGCAAGTCCCTTCTGAATGAAATAGTCTATTATATTTTCCTCTCTGCTCAGCACAATCTGAACATCCTTCAAAAAAAAAAACCAAAACAACCAAACCCAAAAGCCAAGCAAACACCACCCTAAAACAAAACCCCACACAACACTGTGATCAGGAGATTCAACCCGAGATACTGGAAGAAGAACTAGCCTGAAGGTAATGGTTACTTTTTTTGAGAGAGAGGACAACGGAGGGAAGATGACTTACACTTACTCCAAAACCAATTTCTAGGATGTACTTCATTTAAGAAACAGATACTTGAACAAGTCACTGGAAAACAGGTCAAGATCTGAATTCGTTCCATCCAGCTGCTGTTTCCACACTGTCTGTGACAGACACCAAGCAACTGAGTTGCAAAGAGCTGCCTTCCACTTACCACCAGGCAAGAACCCTGCCCGGGAAGTTTCAACAGAGCGGATGAGAAGCTGCACATCTACGTCCCCTTCTTACCCTGCGGTAGCTCATATGTTTGTGTATTTAAACACCACATCTCACTTCCCCAGCTGTAAAAACAGGTATAATAGATCTTCCCTACCTCACAGAAACGTTTAAGAATAGGTATGTTAGAGACAGCGATGAAGTGGATGTTACAGGTTGTATAATTAAAACATTAAACTGAAATTTAAGGGAAGGAGAGGGGATGGAGCTGAAAGGCCCCCTCAACTCCCCCAAACACAGCTCTCAGCCCACATTTTCCCAGTGTCCTGACACTCTGCTACACTGCAAATCTGATTCCTCTGCCAAAGCCTCACTACCATTCAACACTGCCTCCATAAGGGTCCTTCTTCCAAATCATACTCTCCCTCAGTGAATATTTCTGCAAGAACACATCCTGCTCTTTTCCCTGGTCAACATTCTGGTCTGTTCCTGGCTCTCTGTGCTCCTCAGTCTGGAGATGAGCCAAGAAGAAGAGGGTACACATCTGGGTTATGAGAAGTGTCCACATGAAAGTCTTATTCAGCCAAACGAAACACATCCCAGAACAGGAAACTGCCACAACAATAAATACAGCCCAGGAAGGAGACCCCACCAACCTGCTCAGCAGGGTCCTACCACAAAAGAGCTTTTATACAACAGGTGCATTTAATCCATGAGTGTACAGTTCACTGATATTCCGGGGCATATGTCAGGGGAAAATTAAAAAAAAAAAAATAATCCAACAGTGAGGCTACCAGACTCCTACCACTCTTTTTACCCTGGTCATCCATTTTCCCATTTCTCCTCCTAGTTCCCCATTCTCTATAGTTCCTCCTACTTATTCTTTTTCTGCTCTCTTCTGACCAACCCAGGATACTTCCACTTATTCCTTCCTCTCAGCCTACCTTCATCTTGTATGTCTGAACCCCATACAACTTTTATAAGCTGAGAACATTTCCCTGCAGAAAAATTAATAAGATATGTCACAGAATAAGTAAGTTTCCTGTACAGTTTTGTACCTATTAGAGAAAAAAAAAATAATGACAATTCGTACCAACTCTATTTAATAGATGCTGGCATTTTGCTATTAAATGCTTCACAAAAATTACTGACAAAAGCACTCAGTCATTCATTTTTCATATATCCACTTGATGTTATAGCTTATTTTTTAAAAACTAGCTTGATCTCTACTATCAAGACAACTTCTGCCTCTCCAATAGTGAATCTGGGAACACAGCTTTGCCAATAAATCCCCACTGACCACGTACCTCCTTGAGGTGCACTACAACTGACACAACAAGCTGCCTAAAAACCCTCGTGTTCTTGACCTGCTGCACATTTGCTTCAGTTTCTTTACTCACAAGACTCAGCACCTGCCATTCTTGAGAGCCCAAATGTAAAGTTACATACTCCATACTCTCATTACCTAAAGGGGCAGGGCAGCATTACTGCACATTAACTCAGATAAACTGAGATACTGATACATCATGAAGACACTGTGAGCCAGATCCCAGAAAGGAGGAAAAAGAGAAAAGTAAGAATTAGTTGATTTCATAAAGTAATGCAGAAAAGAGCAAAGGCCAGAGCAGAATCTTGTTGCAACTTGAAACACTCACTGCAGGATGTCCAGCTCTCCTACACAACAAAATTTCAAGATAGCTTAAGCAAGTATATGGATTCCATTCAGAACTGGCCTTTGAGACAGAGGCCATTGCTAAGTCTTGACTGCAACAGAGACAATGCTGCATCACAAGAAACTGGAGAATTAAAATAGTTCTCTCCAGAGATGTATTTTGTTGCAGTTTATCAGGGAACTTTTGTAATAATGTGCTAGTTTTGGCTGGGGCAAAGTTAATTTTCTGCACTGTAGTATGAGATATAATTTGTATTTGTGCTGGAAACAGTGTTGATTAAATACAGACACGTCTTCCTTACTGCTGAGCAGTGCTGACTGCACAGAATCAAGGCTTTCTCTGCTTCTTCTACAGCTCCAGCAGTGAGCACAGCTGAGAGAGGTGACCTCAGCTGACCTAAGGGATATCCCAAAGTGTATGACACCATGCTCAGCATATAAAGTGAGGCAAAAAGAAGGAAGAGGGGACATTCTGAATTTTCTCACTTGTACCCTTCTGATTCTCTCCCCCATCAGACGGGGTAGGGGGGAAGGAGTGAGAGGCTGTGGGGTGCTTGGTTGTAGGCGAGGGTTAAACCACAACAACAAATTGAGCAGGTACCCTCTCCATCAAAAGATTTAACTGATGGAGAAATGGTAACAGCAACTGCTCTCTCACTAACTTATCCCAGCACTAAGCAAGTTCATTTTAACAAACCATAAAACAGGTATTCTAAATGTCAAGGTTTGCTGTTAAACTGACGTTTTCTCGATCTGGTTTGTTCAAGTAAGAAACAGAAAGAGTCATCAAGAAGAAAAATGGTCACAATCAGACGGACAGTTAGTTAAGGAATCAAAGAGCAGACACAGAAGTGTTTTTAGCCCAAATTCATGGGTCGAGGACTATCTTAATACTTAAATGCATATTCATGAAGAAAAGGTACGTCGCAAAAAACAAAATACAGTGAACCAGCGTGCTTATAGCAGCGCCCGTGGGGGAGGAAGAAAGCAGAAATACAAATGAATTTAAAAAGGAAGCAATCGTTTATGAGCAGCCTTATCACTGTACTCTGCCAGACACAAAGGTAAAGCGGAAGGATGAAAGGTACCCTCTGCCTTGGTTTCAACACATCCCCCCATGTTTCTATAGTTACGATCAGCAACAGGGCAGGCACAAAATTTGCAATGGCGATACTCCCCTAAAGGCAACCCAGCTGCCCACGGGAACCCCGGCAACCCCTGAGTCTCAGACCCGAAATCCCTCACATCCATCCATCCATCCATTCATCCATCTATCCATCCATCCATCCATCCATCCATTCATCCATCCATCTATCCATCCATCCATTCATCCATCCATCTATCCATCCATCCATCCATCCATCCATTCATCCATCCATCCATCCATCCATCCATCCGCAGGCTCAGCCCCTTCACGCGGGCAGCTCCGGCGGGGAACAAGCGCACGTCTGCGGACCCATCCCGGCGCCCCCCGCCATTCCCGGCCCGGAGCGCCTCCATATCCTGGGTGGCCCCGACCCCGGGAAGGCCTCGCGAAGCCCCCCGGCCCCCCTCGCGGGCAGGGCCCCCCCCGCCGGGGCAGCAGCGCCGGGGGCGGGCGCGGCCTCGCTCGCGGGAGGGGCGGGACGGGCCGGACGGGCCCCCTCCCCCCGCCCGCATCTTGAGGGGAGACGCCCCCCGCCCGCCGGCCCCGCGTCCCTCCTCACCCCGCCCGAGAAGCCGCCGCCGCCGCGCGGCGCGGGGGGCTTGTCCCGCCGGCCCTCGCTCTCCTCCGCGCCGCTGTACTCGATCTCGCCCTCCTCGGCGGCGGCGCTGGGCTTCAGCCGCTTGGCCTGGCTCTCGTAGGCGCCGTCCTCCTCCTCCTCCTCTTCCTCCTCGTACCGCTCCCCGGACGACGGCGACGACATGGCCGCGGGAGGGGAGGGAAGGGAAGGGAAGGGGCGGCGGGCGGTGAGGGAGACGCGGGAGCAGGGACAGAGCCGGCGGCACCGCCGACCCCGAGCGATGCTCTGCGCCCCGGCCCCACACACGGCCCGCCCCGCACCGGGCCCCGCCCCCCGCCTGCCAGCGGTGCCGCGATTGGCTCCCAGCCGGGGAGGGAGAGAGCGCGCCGCGGCGATAGGCCAGAGGGGATGTCAATCAGGAACCAGAGCGGCGGCGATTGGGCGAGGAGCGAGCTCGTCAGCGCGCGGTGAGGCGGCCCCGGCCCCGCCCCCCGCGGTGCCTCAGGGTCGGGCGGGGGAAGGCGGTGGCAGCGGGGACGGCCTGAGGGGCGTCGGGGGCCCGCAGAGCGCCTCCGGATCGGCGGCCTTTTCCTTGCCCACCGCCGCCTCTTGCAGGCCCCGCCGCCTTTGTCTGCTTCCCGGAGCCACTCACTGGGCGGCGGAGGACGCGGGCCCCGGCGCGGCCAGTGTGTCCCGGCTGCGAGGGCCACGGCATCCGCGAGTTGCCAAGGTCACGGAGGCTTCGGGGAGCCGTGAGGCCGCTCCTGAGCACCTATACCTGGCCCTCGGCCCCTTGCAAGAAGTTCAAGTGGGCCGATGGGGTCCGGTGTCCACCGGTGAGAAACAGCAGCGCACTTTGTGCGATCCCTGCGAGCCCGGTGAGCGTTAGACTTGCTTGCACACCTCACATTGTGCTGCACGCAGGTCTGTGTGCTGGCAAATGGTAGGTCTGCTCAGGTTCCTTTTCAGGGCGATGGTACCGAAGGTGGCTTTGGGAGCCCATTCTCTGCATGCGTGCAGAGAATCGTACAACCATCCAACAGCCCAGGCTGGAAGGGAGCTGGAAAAATCATTGGTCCAACTTTTATGGGAGGGAGCCTAGATGAGGTTATCTAGCACCCTGTCCAGTAGCAGCATGGAAACCTCCCATGACAGGGACTCTACCGTCACATCCCTGGGTTCCAGTCACTGGCTGTTCTTACTGTAAAAAAATTCATGTTGCGCCTTGTCTTCTCCACGTGGCTCTTTGTGAAGAGAGATTGAGATACACTGATGTATATTGACATTAGCCCCCTGCCCCCAAGCCTTCTCTCCTCCAGAGAGATGAGACCTAACTCCTTCAGTCTTTCCTCATAGGGCAGATTGTCCTCACCACCCAATTCAGTGTCATCAGTAAACTTGATGAAGGTGCTTTCAACCCCCATCATCCAAATCATTGTGAAGATGGACAGCATGGAGACCAATGCCAGTGGGGGGGGGCACTTGTGAGAGGTTGCCAACCCAAGTTAAAAACATTAATCACCATCCTCTGAGTGCAGCCTGTTAGCCAGTTTTCTACCCATCTTGCAGACCACCTATCCAATCTGTGTCTTGTCAGTTTGTCCAGGAGAAGACTTCTTTGTGAATGGAGGCATGGCAAGAAGACTCCTAATGTTATAAATGGCTTACAGGACTTTGTAGCTGAATTAGTTTCTGCAGCTGTGGCTGCCAAACCGAGATGGATGTGGAGTGGAACCTTGCTTGAAGTAGATCACTGGAGAATGGATATATGATTGCTTTTTCACTTGAGCAGCCAAATAGGAGGGAGGGAAATTATTCAGAAGACAGCCAAAGTAAATGCTATTATTTTCTTCTTCTTTTGGTGTCTGTGTGGGGAAAAACCCAAAGCCCCATACCTATCAAATAAAACATGTTGTTCAATCTGAAATGGTATTTGTAGGCCTTGAAAGCTAGAAAAGAAAGCAGATAATGTTGTTTACACATTTTCTATTATTCTGAAACCCAGTAGTAAAGACACTCCTCCAAGAAGTAGGTGGAGGTTCAGTTTCCCATTCTGCCTGGCATGATTTGAATCTGCATCTCTCAGCTCATCTAATCACCTTATCTTCAAGCACATACACTTGATTTAACTGAACTTGCTGTGTTTCTCACCTTCTCCTTTTCTCTTTGGTCTTTGTTTCTTAGTTTATGTTTTTCTTTCAGTATTTCTTATACCTGTAGCTATTTTTTAACAGAGAGCATTGCAACTTTGAGAGCATACAGTCCACAGGGCTGAAGCTGTGTGTACATCTGTTGTAGGTTGAAACAGTCAATGAGGAACATGCCATCTATGAACATAAAGCACTTCTTTCCAAATACACTACTGATATTTCTGCTTAACTGCCAGATGAAGTTTCTAGTAAATTAGTTTTATGTGGTAGAGCTCTGGGATTTTAGCAGACATTTACACCATAACATTGCAAAAAAGTAACAGCCTGAGAAATCACAGAATGTACCAGAGTCAGAAAATGGCATTGAAATGCTGCGATAATTAGATTTTCTTCAATAATATCCTCCATGTACTTAGAAGTACTTTTCTGAAAATGGAGAAATGACACCAGGCCCTTCCATGTTCTCCATAAAGGTTTGGAACGAGATGATCTTTAAGGTCCCTTCCAACCCAAAACCATCCTGTGTGATCCTGTGACATACTGTTTAACCAAATTCTTATTTACTGAGTGTTCCCAGAAACAGCAGAGTTTCAGGATGCCTCTGTGCAGTATGTGGGTTCTTGTGCCACTGGGTAGCAGACCCTGCTTTGCTGACTTAGTACAGTATTTAATTATTCCACTGTGGAGATGTTAAGATGTTTTACTTTTTTAACTTGTGACATTGAGGCTCACTACTGTGAGCATCCTTGGAGCAGTCCCTTTTTCTGCCTGTGCCTGGTGGGTAGGGAAGGAGGGAGGGAATATGGAAATACACTCCAATTATGTAAGTTTGTAACTGAGCATCTGACTCAGCAGACAGATTTCACTGTTATGTTGCTCATCAGACCTGCTGCTTTTGTATAAAAGAGAGAGAGAGAGAGAGAAGAAAGATGCTAATGCTGCCTGAAAGAGTTCTTTTCATACAATTTTTGTTACCTGGAGGTGATAAACAGAAGTCATGGTTTCAGTCTGCTACCCTCCAATAAGAACAATAATTAGTGTTATTTGCTTGCCACTGTGCAGTCGAGTATAACCACATAATTACAGAAAGAGCAGAACAATGATATGAAGAAAAATCCCCAAACCCTGCAGAAATTTAAATTGCATAATTACACTCGTAGTTTGGAATTACATGTTGTTACCAGTACAATTTTCTCTCCTCTTCCTTTTGTGCCCTGCCTTTCTTACATCCTTTACTGTAATTTACATTACATTAAGCTATTAGCTCACTGTAGCGAGGAGTGTGTCTTACAGTGCTAAAGCATTACACTTTCAGGGTTTTGGTTCCTTCTTGGGAGTTTAGTCTCAGCAGTTTAAGAAATGAGTGCTCTGACCACCCTCCTGCTGGAAGTTGCCTCTGCCTCAGTTGCAGAGGGATGGTGAAAACACCAACATACCTGGGCAAACCAAACTGGGAATTGCTTCTCAGTTTTAATTATTTTATTATTTTCTTTCTGATTTGTCCATGCTCTCCTCTGGGCTGGACAGTGCTTGCTTCTCCTTGCTACTTGCTACTCTTTTCAATCCACCAGCAGCCTAGAGACTCCTATGTCTGGGTACTCATTGTAGGACTTCTGAAATCAAAGCTTGGTAGTACTAAGCATGTGATACACTAGTTGTTGTCAAGAGAAACTGTGACTGCTCAGCATATTTGACACTGGCTTGAATACCTAAATTGGTGTGTGCTTGGGTCGATAAACAGCTGTGGTAGAGGTCAGATCCACTGACCAGTAAGGACTTACATTGCCTTACATGGCAGAATCACCCAGCCTTGCATTGTTGCCAGCACTTCCAAAAGGATCACAAATACTGGGATATTTATTGTTTCTTAAGGCATCAGACTCCAAATAACTCCAAGTTTTAGTTCTCTGAGTAAACTTAGAGAAGTTTATCTCTGTCTAATGAGTACTTCTGAAAAAAAAAAATTAATTCCTTTGATTACACCTGAAAAGCATGATTTTTAAATGCTTCCATGCCAGGGGCAACCCAACAGTAGTCAGTTCAAGTACACAACCCATAAAATCACAAAAGCAGATCTCAGGTTTTCTTTTGGATCACCTGACACAAAGTTTTCAAATGTTTTTGTTCATTACCACTATGTTTCTGTCTATATATAGAGTCATTGTGCACATAGATGCACAGATACACAAGGAGCTTAAAAGTGATGACACTGCTTTCTCTTCAGACAATGTAATATAGGCAAGTTACTTAAACCAGTTGCTTACCATCAGTCACTGTTTTTAGCTCATCTTCTTACACTGAGCTGGCAACCTCAGAACTGGTTTTCAGAACCGAGTGCAAAATAAAATTGCATTATCTGTGAAATCAGGCCTTAAGCATTTCAAATGGTCCCTTGAAAAGTGTATGGCCAGAACACATCTGGCCAAAATCTGTCTACATATCAGTCTTCTACCCCTGCAGCAGACTGCAGCAGCTGCTCGCTCACATGGCAGTGATGCACTTCCCTACAGCAGCGAAAAATACTCAAAAGAAAACAAGTCAGTTTTACCAGCGATGAGCTGAGGAGCTCTGGGCTCCCTGTCTGAGTGGGAGGAAAGCAAAAACTGAGCTGTCTGGGCACAGCCTGCTCAGTACACCAAGTGAGGCTGAGGCCCCATGAGCAAATGAATCAATGACTGTAAAATAAAAGTACTTATCACAACAAGTTAGGCATGAGGGGACAAAATCAGCTTGCATTTAAAACTTTCATCTTGGCATTTTCCATTATGTATGTTTCTGACTTTGCATGCTTTGCTCTTTTTCTTTGTTATATACAGCATGTGTGATTACCCCCTGTTAAAAGGATAAAAAGGCAACCTGACATCCTGTAGGATTTTTCAGACTTGAATACAGCAGAGATACACCAGCAGACAAGAGCCACTACACTTGTTTGCACCGTTCAGCCACAGCAGAGATAAAAGTCCCAGAGTCACGGCTCTTCCCCAGGTATGGGGCCCCTATGTGGGTGGTGGTTTTTTACCTTTATGGTTTGTTTGGTTACCAGCATTGGGTGGACAGTGTAATGTATCTGTCTAGCCAGTGCTTCCTCTCTCTGGTTCAGATCACTTTTTTCTGCATAAATAGTAGACACCATTTGTTGTTTAAGACACTGTAACAGAGTATTCACATCCCCATCAAGGGATGGCTTTGCTTCTTTGTGGCTGTAGCATTAAATAACTGCAGTTCCAAAATTTCTTCCTTTTGCTGGCAGGTTGCTGGATTGTTGGCATGTCCAGGAGACGTGGATGTGCCACACACATTGGCTGTGCCCTGTGTGTAGTCAAGTGCTCTGAAAGAAACCCAGGCAACTTCCTTGTCCTGCCTGGCTCAGGAAATGTGGACACAGAATCATGAGGAGCGAGCAGGACATTGGGGGGTGTGGAGAGAAAAGAGGGCTGACCAACATGGCCTGCAAAGGTAAGAGGCCCTAGCTGCCTGTCAGTGTAATGCTCCAATCCTGGGGCAACCTGTCCTGCTGAGGAGGTCAAAAGCTTTCCTGTTCTGTGGACATAAATCATGCCCTTAGCCAGGTCTGATCTTTGCTTACAACCTGAACTGCCATCTGTGGAGAAAGTTGTATCCAGATACCAGGACTGTCCTCCCTGTCTTAAAATAGCTGCTTCATTTTAAAGGCAGAGATCTTGGATGCATTTTTTTGTTCCTGAGTGTTGCATCCCCAAAGGAGAAAATGCTCACAATTCTGGATTTATATTAGGCAACACTTCCTAGAAATGATCAGTGCTTAATTTGTGAAACAGGGGTTGCTTCTCAGAATCACCACTTGGTAAGCACCTGTGAAGAAGAGCTACCAGAGCTACCAGAAAGGATATGATTTGCTAATATAGTAGTTTAATTGAAGTTCTGTGGTTTGCATTTTGCTCTTCAATGGTGAAAACTTAACTGGAGCATAAGGTTCAGTATCTAAGTGACAGAATGTCTGAGAGCCAGGTGCTTTCCTACAAGTTATTGTGTTCTATTTCTAACCTTGATCTCCTTTGTCTCTTTCCATTCAAGATGGTGCAGCACCACTGGACTGCTTTGCTTGCAGTGACAGGAATGCAAACTGGTGATGGATTTTGATCTGACTGGTAAGAAAAAATGTCTACAGGGTGAGACTGGGTGCAGAACAGATGTTTCCCTATCCTTGTGCGGGTGGGAGATGCTACAACCCCAGAGCACAAACCAACCTCTTATACATTTGTTTGCTTGGGCAGTGGTTTAATGCACATTTTACAGCACAGATACTTTGTAAGAAAAAAGCAGTTCTGCTGTGTGTGGTACATCAGGATTAGTTCTATTGCTTATTAAGATGTTGTCTACGCTTATTTTCGCCTATTCCAAAGAAGGTTCTGGTGGCTAAAGCCATAAAAAACATTTTGTACCATTTCACCTAGTTAGCTGCAATGACCTTGAGGTAAATCCCTTGTGATTTCCCTACAGCATTACTTTTGCCACCTTCTTGGACTCCCCAAGCATGACACTAGCACAAGGATTTTGACTATAACAAAGGGGGTGAGTTCACCAAGTATTGCTTCACAAGAAAGAAAAGCAAAATAAAATTAAATTAAATAATTCCCACTTGCACTTAGCTCTAACTGACAGCATCTAAACCTGTGACAATGACATGGCTGCTGCTGCTGCTGGCAGCACAGATGACAACACTGTGTGGGGGTGGAGGAATCGGGCTCAGTGAACTCGTGGTAGGTATCTATGTGCAGCCAGCTATCTCTTATGCAATTGCAATACATATTACCACCTGAGCTACTCCATGACTATTCATTTGTCTGGCACAACCTCCTTGCCTGAGGAAATGCTGTTTATACAGATAAGGTCTATGGACCATCTTTGCTACCCCTCTAGAGCTCCCGTGAGTTGACTAGCAAGTTGCACTTGATGGAGCATGTCCTTAGGGTGCCATTGACACTCTTTCTTGGGTGACACACTTCAGCTTTTCACACTCCACAGGAGCATTCATGCATTGTCCAGCAGTTGCCACACATTTAGACAGGCTACCTACCATACAGTGATGTGAGATAAGTCATTTTAATGACATGTGACAGCAAACTTTGGAGATTTTTTTCATCTTATGATGTCTTTCTGGGAGAAGAGTTGCTGCTGAGAAGAAATCATTATTATGCCAGCAAGAATACTTACCTAGCACAAACTATTTCTCCAGTAAAGGAAGGTTTTTGCAGCCTCCCCAGATTTTTAATATAGCTGCAGTTTTTGCTTTTAATATAACAAGGCTTCCTAAAGTGCAGGTTCTGAGTCATTGCAAATGTCAAATATAAAATAATTAATAACAAAATTGATTCCCACATTAACCCAAAGAAAAATCTAGTGGTCCAGAAATACTCTCATTAATCATTCTTTAGACCAGTACTGCCAATCTTAGAAATCAAAAGTCATGAATTACACCTGCTCCCCACCTAAACCATGGTTTAAAGATCAGAAGTCACATTTTTGTGGCTAAATCAATCTGAACTATTTTGTTCGCCTTGTGGTAACTTGAGACTGTATCTCATCCTTGGATCACGTTTTTAATTATGCTTTAAAGTCTCCATAACAACTGCAGATTTCCTGTTTAAGGAAAGCCAAGATTCTCCTACATCTGAGGACACTGTGGTTAAAGAAACAAATTTTGTTACTCTGCTAAAAGTGCAGGTGTTGGCCACCATGAATACAGCTGTTTCAAAGACAGATGACATTCTATGGGATCAAGTAATACACTGGACTGATTGTGAAATTTTATCTTCACATACCTTTGATTTACTTTTTTTGTTCTTAGAGCATCTTGACACATAAATACTTTTTTTTCCCCCTCTGCATTTAGGATTTTGTAGCTTAAATATTGTCTCTACTGGTGTGCTTCAGGGACAATTTTGAGGTTTTGGTATGCCACAATCCACCAGGACTAAAAATGCTGCTAAATTTTCTGATAAAAAAGCAGAAAACTTAGCCCAAGGGCTTTATAAAAGGGCCATAGGAAATTCCCACATAAGAAAAAAAAGAAACATCACAACAAGTTTAATACAGAACAGACACTTTACATGTTCTCATAGTTGAAGCCTGCACAATGGGACAGTTGTGAGTTAAAGGTTTGTCTCTATAATCATAAAAAGAAATTTAAAAATACAATAGAGAGTCATAAGTCCTTGCAGTGAAGCACTTCCAGATTTCCTGTATCATTTTTTTCAGAGATTTCCTTAACAAAGTCTATCATCCTGTCTTACCCTGGGATTTCCATGATCTTTAAGCACTGTCCTTAGAGACACTACCCAAGTAATCTTGGCTACATCTGCACTGTGAGGGGAAGAGGGCTTGGGAACACCAAAACCATGTCCTCTTGAATTCCAGCCAGCCTGGTGTCAGCTGAAGGCAGGGTACAACGAGCCTGTCCCAGGCTGGAGGGACAGGCAGACAAGGCAGGCTGAGCCCCCTGTGCCCAACATCCATAGGCTCTCTCTGCCTCTGTGAGGCTCTGGGGCATCAGAGCAGTCCTGGACTGCCACTTACTGCAACAACAGCATCACCCTTGGCTTTCCAGGGCTATCCCTCCATAAAATAAATCACCTAGCTTTAGTTATACCAGTGTTGTTGTCATTGCCTCATATAGGAACATGTGGGCATGCCAAAGGGTGCTTTATCCAGCATTGCCTGGGGAGAATGGGGATGCTCATTCAACTCCCTGTTGCTTTAGCTCTGTTGGTAAAGCACTGTGCTTCAGCAGCACAGCTGTGTAGACACAAAACCTGTGTGTATGCTATGCCTAAATTGGGGAGTGGGGGAATGGATCTGCACATCTGCATGTGTGAAGTAAGTTCTTATCACCAGCTGCCTGCAAGCCAAGCACATCCCCCTCACACATGAAGGCCCCCAGTTTTGCCCTGTGGTTTCCACAAACACCCTCCTTCCCTTCAACTCTGCTTCTTGCTGTTGCTCAAACAGGAACTGCTGTGCATTCACAGCCTTTAGTAGGTGATGCTCTAATCTCCCTTTGGCATCTCCCTGCCAGCTGCCAGTGCAGCCATGTATACATCTGAGAGCAAATTTTCTAGGACAGCACCACGAGGCAAAATGCTTTCCCTATTTGTTTTCTCTGTCCTTTCATCTGATCTCCTCCTGCCCCCCTCCCCCAAGTCCTTTTTTATATCCTCCTCCCCTTTTGCTGTCCTCTGAGTGCAAAACCAAATTGATACTTGTTCCTGGTGCTGGGACCCTTATGTAGGTCAACCCCTGTGAGTCATGAGTGTGGTCTGCAGTCAACCTACAGCTGCTTCATGATGCAGAAGGGTAATTTCTTGTGCCGCTTGCCCTTGCTTTTCTTCCTCTACTTCCTTGGCAGATCCAGAAGTGCCATGCCATGCCAGCCCATCTGGCTGTGAGCTGCAGTTTTGTCAGTCCAGCAGCCCAAAGCAACTTAGAGGCCTTCCTGTTTGGTGCCTCCTCCCCGACAATGCAGAGCCCTCTTCAGAGATGCAGGTCCTTACAGAAGTGACTTCCCCAGTGGAAAAAATACTGAATGAAGCAGAGCTGTCCTACTTGTCATGTTCCTGCTTGACTTGCTGAGGCATTTTCGAAACTCCTCTGAGCCCTGCACCCACTCTTTTGTAGGGTCCTCAGCACTGTGCATGTCTCAGTGTGAGCCTCAGTCTCTCTCCCACAAGCTTTCAGTAACAGAAATGGAAAGCAAATCCAAGTCTTCGCCCCATCAGAAACCGCAGCTGCAAAGCTGTCCTACTGTTGCATAAGCTGCTTTTATTTTTGAACCTTTAGACCTGTAGCACATCCTCTACAAAGGTTAAATTCAAAATTAGCTGCACAAGCATAGAAAGGAGAGAGGAAAGTCCGTCTCTTGGCATACATTATAGTCCCCAGCCCCCTCCAAAACAACATGGAAGTGTCTCTGGTTCAAGGCAGCCTACACAACAGCGAGCTGCAGGAGCTGTAAGCTATTATTTTAGTTCCCAAGGAAAGTAATTACTATAGCAACCAACACATCTGAATGGCTCTTTGGCTGCTACTGAGATACAAACAACTTGTGCACAAAGGCACATCAGAAACGTGCTGTGTAAAACGTTCTCGGGGAGCTCTGCTTTTTGTAGAGCTTTATAAAACGTGCATAACAGGCTTCTGAGAAATGACTGCCAGAATAACAGCAAGCAATTGTACCATGCCATGATCCCAAAATAACCTAATCAATGGCTCAGTATATTTGCCCCTGAAGAGACGAAGCAAAAAAACTGCAGGCTCCATTTTAAGCCTGTGTGCCGGGAAGTACCCAGCTGAGCTGAAGATACATTCAATAAGCAGACAGTAAAATGGTGGGGAAACGTCTCCCCTTTTGTTCTGTGTACTGATGCAAACTCCCAGCAGGCTTCAAGTGCCAGCTCATCCCTTGGGCTTATACAGAGTTTGTCAGAAAAAGGGATTTAATTACAGCCTTGTAATGCTGGAGGGTGTAAGAAGTCATGTCTGCATTCTTTTCTGTATCTGTGCAGCAATCAACCCCCACAGAACCCATCTCCAGCTGCAGTGCTGGGTACATCACTGTTGCTATTACTGAATAAGGAAGCTTCTTGAGCAACAGCAAACTGTAATCATTGGCCATTGCTTAAGTATTACAGCATTTGGAGTGTCTCTGTCACCTTCAAATCAAAATGCCACTGGTGTAATAACAGCTTGATAGTTTCTGGTACCTGCCTGCAAAGCAGCACCACTTCATGGTGCTGAGACAAACAGCTTAGATCCCCTTAGGTCCAAGCAATCTGGCCCAGGAGTATTGTCCAAAATTTCCCCACAGGACACATAAACACATGTCACCTGTCTCAAGGATGGTGAGTAGCATTAACATCACACTCCTGCTCCATTGCACAAGGCAGCTCTGATGAAAATGGTGGCTATGGATCTGGGTAACAGAGACAGATAACAGAGATCTCTGTTACAGAGTTAGATACTGTAAGGGAGCACAGAGTTAGATACTATAAGGGAGTACAACATGTCCCTTCCCAAATCTGAACTGCCTTTTAAAATTATCTTTTAATCAGTTGAGTCCTAAAGTCTTGTTCTGGGCCCAGAATAAACTGAAAATTACAGCTGGATTTAACATAAAGACAAAATTAAGGAAGGAAATGTAGTGATGTAATTTATTACAGAAGTGCCCTATGACCAAACAGAAAAAGGATCTTGGCATAGCAGGTTCTGCATGACAGAGTTTTGGTTGACTGTAGCCTTTTAAGCAAAGTCACTTTATTTTGGATTAAAGAAAAACATCTGAGAAAAGCACAAAAATAAAGAATTCCTAAGAAAATAGCACAAACATATATGAAATCCAAGGACTCACTTCTGTCTTACAAAATGGTAGCCACCCTATAAGCACCAGGAGTTTTCAAACTGCCAATCCCAGGGAAGTAAATTCTCCTCTGTAATTTTTCTCATTATAAGTTTGTTTTCTCATAGTAGCTCCCTCTCAAAAAAACCACAAAAAACCAAAAAACAAAAAACAAAAACAAAAACAAAAAACAAACAAAACGAAAACCCAACAAAACAGTTCTTTATCACAGTGTGCCTTTTTATAAGCTCTTTGGTTGGGGAAAGACAGGACCACTCACTCACAGGATGACTTCCCAGTTTGCCTTTGCTACTAAACAGGAATATCTTGCCTGGTTTAGAGGAGCTGGGACCAGTGGGACCAGGCTTCTGGGCAGCATGTAACCTGCCTTCATGCCACACCTCTGCTATTCCTGCAGGGTCACTGGCTGCAATAGAGCAGATAAATCCTTGTTGCTCACAAACATTTTGTGGTTTGGGTCGGAAAAGGCTGCTCCAGTGCCTTTTCAGTGAAGGCAAGCGAAGATACAGAGTAAAGACCTATTGCACTGCCCGGCTGCTCATGCAGAGCTGCAGGGCAGAGAAGTGAAACCAAAGTCTCAGAGATGAACAGCAAGCTCTTTTGAACACTCACCAGCTGTGGAAGTGCCCTGCTACCAATGCCAGGTGGGTCCAGGCCCAATACTGTGGTTTTCTTCTGTGAAGAAAGAAGAGAAAAATGCAAGGAGCTCGCATTTGACCATCACTGTAAGCAAATCTCAGTGCCACAGTGAATAAGGCCCAAAACAAACTCTTCCTTAAAAATAGAAATCCTCAAGGTCATGAAGCAGGACTCTTGGAATACCTTGCTCAGATTCTGAAGCTGACATTGCTTCTTACTGTTTCCTGCAAGATTCAGGCTTGCGCCAGCTGGTTTTTTTCTAGTTTATCTGCTAGCTTGAAAATTGAGTGGCCAGTTCATTAACAGATTTGTCTGTGGTATTGCTTTTGTACTTGGAACAGCCTTAGATGTCACCAGGGCTTGAGTGGTCTTGCATCTGTGAAGGTAGGTGAGAAAATCAGGGTGTCCATGGCTATTACATCAGACAAAGAGTTTGATCTGGACCTTCTCTGCTGCAAATCAGAGAAGTAAATCAAAATGGCAACCCCTGTCATGTTAAAAAAACTCACAGGTCAATGAAATCTGGTCTTTGCAAAGCAGAAATGCTTCCTATGTCTGGAGAAGCACGTTGAGGGAGAGGTGTTGAGGGAGGCAAGGTGCTAAGGAGTGAGCTTCTGGGAACACTCTGCATGTGAAAACACTTCACAAATCGGTTATAAATGAGGTTGACCTCTCTTCCATCCATCAGGGGCCTTCCTCACTCCAAGGTTTGTGCTGCTCCTTGTCATGTCTCAAACGGGAGATAGTATAGATGAGCACTAAAAAGGATGTTTACTTGCAATGTTGTTTTTGGATAGAGAGCACTGATTGAGAAGGTGCAGAAGAAAACACAGGAACAGTCATTTGTGTTACACAGCAAATATGAGGCTGTCACCAACAAAGAAGCGCAGGTTTCCAAACCGTCTCTGCTCAGCCCTGGGTGGGAGGTTTTGTTTCTGTGTTGGATTGGAATTTGTAGCTTGTCTTGTCAAAGGATGGTGGCTGTGTTGGAAATTAAGATTTAGCAACCACTGGTTGATTGATTGAGGCTTTTTGGTGGCAGTTCTAGGAATTATTGGTTCTTTGAACAAGTTCTGAAAATGGGCTCTCATAGAAATACAACCATACCAAATCGTAGTGAGGTTCTCTAGCCTTGCACTTGAGCCTTGCCAAGAGAGGTCACAAATATGCACATACATTACTTACATGTTGCCAGGGTTTTCCCTGCAGACTGAAATTGCCTGCAAAGACCGGAGACAGGCAGGGGTCAATATTTCGAATGACAATGATTTTTAATGGAGTCTGGGTCAGAGCCACAACTTGGAGAATAATACCCTGGGCCAGCAAATACCCTGACCCTGATTTACAGCTCCGTCAGCAGGCACTGCCTTCTGCCTCTTGTGGAGGGACTAAGGGGGGGGAGGACAAAGGGAGAAAACAGCATTTTGTCGTGCCACGCTTTGCAAGGGCCGTGAAAGTCGTGTCGGTGTGATGCAAGTGGGGCACAGGAGAGGGTAGAGGCGATGGTCCGTCCGCCGGACTTGCGAGCTGGCGGCTGCACTGCCCGGCTTGGCAGCGCCCGCCTGAGCACTGCAGCCTCGTTCCCTTCTTTCCGCATCCTTCCCGCTCCCCTCGGCCACCTCCCGCCGCCCGGACCCGGCGGCTGCTGCTCCTCGGTGTCAGCCCAGGGTGCCCAGCGCTCCCTGCACCGGGCGCGGCGCGGCTCCTCCCCGCGCCGGGAGGCGGCCGGGCCGGTGTTCTGTCCGCCCTTTGGAGCCTTGTGTGCTCCCGTCCCGGCCGCCATTGTTTCTTCCTCCTCACGAGCGTCGTTCCCGGGAAGCGCTGCGGCTCCCCGAAGGGGTCGGTGGCCGGCTTTTGGGGAGCGATGACAGCGGTGCGGAGAGAGGCGTTCGGGCGGATGCCCGCGGAGCAGGGAGGAGGAGAGGTGGAGAAGTTCGTCTTACAGTCGGACAGCGTGAAAGTGGAGATCCTGTCCTTAGGGTGCATCATCGCCGCTCTGGAGACTAAAGACAGGGATGGGAAGTTTTCAGATGTTGTCCTGGGATTTGACACTTTGGAAGGTGGGTCTAAATCCGTTTATTTAAAAAAAAAAAAAAATTAACACTCCCCCACAATCAGCAATGTAGCAATTTAACCAGCGTTTACAGCGTGATCTGCTTCTAAGGGTCCCCTCCAAATCATGAGCTGAACAGATACACTTCCTGCTGCCTGTCCTGGCTGGATGTGGTGGATGTTGAACTGGGACACTGGTGGCTCCAGCTTGCAGTGTGTCCCTCTGATGGGGCAGCTCTGAATCACACCTTGACTGCAAGAGCCCTTTTCTGCAAATCTCCAAAGAACACAAGATCCCATCAGGCTGTTTTAATCAGTGGTGAGCTGTGTGTCCTGTGAAACACTGGGACTGCAGTCATGTGTTTAGTCCTGGAGGGAAACAGAGAGAGACACCTCTGAATCCATAAGCACACCCGGAGACCACCTATCCTGTCCCAGTCCTTCTGTTCAACCGTGTGCTGTTTTTCTGGACAGGTTACACAAGGAAGCACCCCTTCTTCGGTGCTGTCGTGGGGCGTGTTGCCAACAGGATTGCGAAGGGCAGGTTCACTTTGGACGGGAAGGAGTATCAGCTGTTCCTCAACAATGGGCCCAACAGCCTGCATGGAGGAGCCAAGGGATTTGACAAGGTGAAAATCAGGTTGGCCGTCCCAGTGTCCTCCCAGCACACAGCCTGTGGGGTTGTGGCAAGAGGATATGATGTCTTCCCTCCCGACCCTGTAGCATTTTCTGGTGGTTATTGAGTTGAATCAGCTCAGAAAGTGCTGTGAGTGCAGGAATGGGGGGAAGTGAGACAGATCCTATGAGCTGCTGGGTTGGCTTGTCTTTGCCTGAGTTTGCAGGGCTCGCTTATATCTTCCTTGTTGTCGTGCTGAGGGGTGCTGTGCTTCCTCTGTGTGCCTGCAGCCCTGAGGCCTCATGAGCCCAGTTCTGATAGGGTTGTCCTGGGCAAGGTGCTGCTCCTACAGAGCCTGGCTTGGGACACAAAAGTGAGGACCAACCTCAAGTGCAATGGAGGCTCCCTGGGCACCAGCTGTACCACCCTGGAGTGGGTACTGTAGGTGTGCCAGTGCCCAAAGAAAGTGTCCTGGGGAACAGGGATCCACACAGGCTGATTTCCACTTGCAGTTTAAAGGCTGGTACCTGTCCATACCTCCTCCCAGAGTCAGAAGGACCTGGGTTTGCAGAAACTGTCATTGCTGCTTGCTTGTAACAGCACTTCCAAGTAGGGGGAGAGCAGGGTGGTGCTGCAGGTTCAGTGCAGTCATTGCATGCACCCTTCCGTGCCACTTGGCTCTCACTCTGACTCCCAGCAGTGGGAAACTAGATCAGGCCTAAAATCCCAGTATCCAGGATCACTGTGTCTCCTTCGCAGCCCTCCCCTGTGACTTCATGAGTTAAAATAACCTTTCCCTGGCCCCCAGGCACTCAACCTTTTCCATCTTCTCCCAAGAGCTGTTGCCGAAGTCAAATACTGTCCCTGCACTATAGATGGTGAGAGCAACAGAGCATTTCCTCTCTTGAAGGCCTTGCTGATAACCTTGCTCCATTGCAGAGCAGGCTCAGAAGTCTCTGCTTTCCTGGCCTCTGTCAGATCAAATGTATTTGTGACCAGCAGGTAGCTGATCCACCATTTCCCCAGAGGAACACATGCGAATATGCTGGCATACCTGTTTTCCTGGGTTAATGTTTTATTTCATGAAAGGACATCCAGGCTGATGGGACAAAAGTCAGAGTGTCTAGAAAAAAATCACTTCTAGGCAGTACAGTGTGAACTGTCATCAGGTTGGGATGAAATGCTCCTCAGCAGCCTCAGAAAAAAGGGAGTACAGGGGTTCCTTGGCTGTTGTGCCCCAAAGAGGACAATTTGGTTTAAGGTTTCTTTATGCACCCTGACCCCTGAGATCTGGAGCTGAAAACATGCACTCCTTTGCACCTGAGGCTTCCGGGCTGTCTTCTGCAGGTGGGGGATGTGGTCTCTTCCCCTTGCTTGCTGAAGGCACACCAGCCTGTTGGGGACAGTGTGCCTGTGACATCTCCCAGCCAGTGCTGTGTGTCCTCTGGCCCACAGGGCACACGTGGGCACCCTCTCAAGACCTCCTCCAGCCAGGAAATAATCACTGTTCAGAGATAACCCTAACACAAACAAGACACAGTGGCATTGGGCTGTTACTGTCTTGATAGATCTTGTCAGTTCTTCCTGATCTTGCAGATCTCAGTGCTGCGGTCAGTGTGTCGTCTGATGAGGGTCTTGTAGCTGTGCTTGCATGGCAGCAGTACATGACCACACTGCTGGGGGACTTCAGAAAATAACCCTCTTATCTTAAAAAAAATGATGATACCTCTATGCTTCCTGGACTTTTATAGCTTTTTCTTCAAAGAACTTAAATAGAAACTTGTAGTTGAAACCATAGCATCTGTAGAGCAGT